TTATTGGACTCTTTAGAAATTAATGGAAAACGATTTCAGTGAGACTATCATCTTCTCACACTAAGAAAAACACCAAACAAAACCAAAAGCATGCAATCAAAGAAATACTAATTTTCACAGTCATTCAAAATTTTGGCAGTGGGTGTTCAAATTATCAGTTAGTGTCATCCCTTTCAACTTCATTTTTCAAAGTGAAATAATTAGACTTTTTGTTTGAGTTCTTACCTTAACATTATGTAAAGTAACATGGGGATATGTTAAAAAAACACAAAGCTAAATGAAATAATTTGGGGTTGAAAGATGTATTTGTCTTTTCAAAACTGTTATCTGTTTTGGTATAAAAGTGAAATTGAGCAGCAGTCCTTACCTAAGACAGAAAACTCATTGTGATAAGTCTGTGTTTTCCCTAGTAGAAAAAGTCAGTGTGGATTAGTTATTAATGATAGTCCAAAAAGCTTTGGAAAAGGAGAATTGTTTGTGCCGAGAGAAATTTAAGTTGACAGTAAAAATATTGACAGTTAACCCATTTGTACTCAGCCATACTCTAATACAAAAACGAGATTGAAATGTCTTGCATGAGTTGCAGTTCATTAAGCAAATGTGACACTTTATTTTCTAGCTGTTTCAATACTGAAGAGGTGAAGTGGTGAAATAGCAATATAAATGAACATGCTTCTCAGTGTGCTGATAACTCAAGTCAGAGTAAAATGAGAAAATCTTAAAAAGATGTTTCAAGACTTGGTTACTGTGTCCTTCCCATGCCCCCAGACAGAAAGCAGAATCCTTTTGATGAGTCAGAGTTTTGATGATATAACTTTGTGGATAAAATACGTTGTCTCTGAAAATTAATTATAAATAGAAATGCCACTACCACATTTAAAACTAATTATGAGATGGATCATAATGCTCCTGTTTATGATTTTAATTGAAAAAAAAATCTGTAGCTTTGCTAATAACTGCTGATAGTCAACATTTTCTTTTAGCTGATATTTTAATTAGCACTTTATATATTTGAATTCAGTTTATGGTTTGAGACTACAAAGCTTATTTGTTTGCAATTTTGTGGAGGAATTTTTTTCTCAACTGTAATTTCTATCTGCAAAATAAGCATAAGAACCAATTGTTTTTTCTGGCAGGATATTCTCTGGAGATCACTGGCCTTACTAAATAAGACAGTGTATCAAGTATAGTTTTTTAACTCAGGTCATTACTTTAAGTAACATTGCTGTTTTAAAGTAAGATCGAAGTAAAAGACTATAATAATTAATATTTAGCCATTGCTCAGAAACAGAAGGATTAATGACACCATTTTAAATATATATGCTAACGTGAGGGACATAAAAAAAAATCCAAGCCCTGCAATCTGGGCATTGCCAATTTAGGTTTAGCAAATTATCTAAGGAGTTTGCATTTGTAGTATTTCACACCTTAAGGTCTTAATATGCATCGCTAAATGTATTTCTTCACTGTTTGCTAATTAATGTTCTGTGGAGGTGCAGCTGCTAATTTTTTGTGGTTGACATAGCTCATTTTAAAGTGATAACAGTTGCATCTGTAGTACTGTTATAATTCAGTTCATAAATGATGGTCATACATTTTGACACTACCTATTTTGTAGGAGTACAAGCATCTGAAAAATCTGTATTTGCTAACAAAATGCACCCAATAATATTTTAACAAAACATAGAAACAACCCCACACAGCACCACTCTCTCTGTGTAATTAGTGACTCCGTCATTCATGTGTGAAGTTTTAAATATTGCAGGAAGGGAACAACTTCTGTAATATCACAAAGTCTCTTCAGGAGTGATTCTTGGTAATTAGTAAAGACATATATTTTGGTGGTAAAACAGTTGGACTGCAGCAATATTGTGAGGCAATGCAGGAAAAATATTTCTCAGAGGAGAATAAATAAACATTATCAAGATAGATCTGGTGGAGATCAAGGGAAGAAAACAGTTTTCATAAAGGCATGTGTATTGTAAGCTACATTTTTTCCTAGTATTTTGAAAGAAACTCAGCAGGATGTAAGCAATCCAGGAGGTTCCTGGAGTCTATTGGTGAGAACTTCCTCCTCCAACTGATAAAGGAGCTGTCGAGGAGAGGTGCTTTGCTGTATCTCCTACTTACCAACAAGAGTGGATGTGAAGATCAAAGGCAGATTTGACTGCAGTGGATGGTGGAGCTTGGGATCCTGAGAGGAAGGAACAGGATGAAAAGCAAGCTATGCTACCAATCCAGGAGTTATGTCCCAACACCAACATGTTGTTGGTTGGTTGTTCTCAAACATGAGTCAAACGGTGGCACACAAAACCCTGAACTTCAGGAGAGCAAACAATAGGCCTCTTCAAAGAACTGCTTGGAAGATTCTCATGGGTTAAGGACCTGGAAAGAAGAGAGGCCCAGGAAAGCTGTTTACTATTCAAGGATCACCTCTTCCAGGCTCAAGAGCAGTCCATACCAACAAATAGGAAGTCAGGCAAAAATGCTAAAAAGTCTGCAATAAACAAGTTGTTCCTGGCCAGAGAAAACTGGCCAGACTGGAGAAAAGCAAATGTCACTCCTGTCTTCAACAAGAGCAAGAAGTACAATCCAGGGAATGCCTGACTGGTCAGTGTCCACCACCTGAGTAGGTGATGGAGCTAATCCTGGAAACAATTCCCAGGCACATGAAAGATAAGAAAATTGTATGATGAGTAGTCAGCTTGGCTTCACCAAGAGGAAGTTATGCTTGACCAGCCTGATAAATTTAAATGGTGAAAGGGCTGGCCAGGTAGACGAGGGTACACCAGTGGGTATCATCTACCTAGACTTCAGTGAGGCCTTTGACAGTGTCTCCTACTGTCTCCCACAACGAGGTTGTGAATCCACAACTGGCTGGATGATGGGGCCCAGAGTGTGGTGATCAGTGGTGCAAAGTCTAGTTAGAGGCCAGTGACTAGCGGTGTACCCCAGGGGTTAATACTGCATCCAGTCTTGTTCAGCATCTTAACAAAGTGGTCTGGATGATGGAGTGGAGTATCAAGTTCACTGATGACACCAAACTGGGAAGACAGGCTGACAGAGGATTGTGCTGGCATCCAGTGGCACTTTGTCAGGCTTGAAAATGACCTGACAGGAAACTCAGAAAGTTCAACAAAGGCAAGTGCAAAGTTCTACCCCTGGAAACTAGTAACCTCATGCACCAATATTTGTATACCTCACAGCACCATGTTTGGAGGCCACCTGACCTGTCTTGATGTTTTCTCTTTTTGTCTGTCTGGGATCTAGTAAGCAGTCTTAATTTTTCATGTATTAGTACATTCTGTTCTCACAGATAAGAAGATTTTGTTTGAGCAGAAAATGTCATGAGTCACATTCTGTTGGTTTAACATCATCTGGTTGAATTTGAAATTGGCTGCTGGTAGTATCTGGTCAACAGTTTAGATTATATATATATATATTTTAAAGTATTCAACCTTGGCTGCTTTGAATATAGCAAATGCTGGCTAAATTAAAACAACTTGTTATGTAGGCTTTTGTAGGGACTTACTAGTATTACATTTGTTGTAGAAGCCTTATCATCTAGTAAGGCTGAACTGTGTGTTCTTAGTGTTTTACTTCTGAACATCTGAAGTCAAGAGAAAGACAGATCACAAAACTTGTTATTTATGAAAGAACTGATAGGGATCAGAGGCATGTTTTCCTGTTTAACTGTAGACTTAATTTGTTATGTGAAGCATGAGTTCATTAAATACTGAATGTCAAAATGTATTTATTACTGTTCATTCTCTTTTTCTTTAAATAGAATTTTTAAAAAATTATTGAGAGAAAAATATAGCTGTAATATTGTTTTAAGACTCAAGGGCCTTGATATTTGTGTTAAAATAACCTTGGAATCAAAGTCTGTCAGAAGAAACTACATGTTTGAGGGAAAAAGTTGCTAGTTTAGTTAAAAATACTTTGTCAAATGAAGTTAAACTGATAGAAGTAGGAAGAAGTTATGATTTAGAATTCCTATTTTAAAAGCGCTATCATAAGCCTAGTTTGCTCATCTACCTATCATTTGTTATATCTGTTCTCTAATAGGATCAGGAGTCTGGAGTGTGGTCAATGTCAGGAGAGTTTTGGAAAATGTGTGTCCTGTTCTTTAGATCCTGTCACAAGTTGATAAAGCTTATTTAGACACATGGCCTACTTAAAGGTTCATGATGTTGGGCTGTGTTTTGTTTCAGTATCGTGCCTATTTATCAAAGCTGTTAGAAGTTAACCCATTTTGCCAGTTCTTAAAATTCTTCAAACATTGGTAGTTGACCATTAAAAAAAAAATCAGTCAAGATAGTCAAACTCCATCTTCTTTTACTCATTAGAACATTCATCTTGCTCTAGAAATCAGCTGAACAAGATTTGCTGAGTTTCTAAACTTTACTATTGTGCCCTATGAAACAACAGAACCTGAATTTTCCTTTTTGTATTTTCTGAGTGATTTTCAACTGCAAAGTTACAATTAAGTTTTCCAGGACTGGTAAAAGTTGTTTAATCTGTTTTGCCTGTGCAAGGACCAAGATACCAAAATGTATAACTTGAAAGTATGGCTTAGGATTTCTTTGGGAACTGGGAGCTGTCAGCTCAAGCTTTAGATGTAAGGTGGATCTTAGCTGTTTTCTGTGCTGTGCTGAAGGTTGGAAATAGTTTATCACATATATTTTTAGTGGGACATATACATTAAATGACTCACACGATTTTTTGAGTTGATTCTTAATTGTTTTAAAGAGGAAAATGCACAGGAGCTTGAAGTTATTAATTGGTATTTCCATATGGTTGTCCATACTGAATCCTACCAATGGGATCCAGCAGGTGTAGACTCAGCAATCTGCTGCATATATAAAGTCAGTAAAACTGAAAATAGCTTTGTAAATTTGACATTTACTTCACTGTATATTACGTACTGGGTTTTAATGAGGTTTAATCTGGATTTTTCAGTGTAAATGCTTAACATTTTGTTTGCTTTGCTCTACTAGATGCTTGTAACTACTCCGGAGAAATGGGATGTAGTGACAAGAAAAAGTGTTGGTGATGTAGCTCTCTCTCAGCTGGTAAAACTCTTGATTCTTGATGAAGTTCATCTCTTGCATGAAGACAGAGGACCAGTACTGGAAAGCATAGTAGCAAGAACTTTACGTCAGGTAAGAGTGAAAAATCTTTTAAGTAATTTTATTTTGGTCAAGAAAAGATAGATTTCAGTGTAAAAGGAGAAACATTTAGACAACAAAATCCAAATGCTTAGGCAGCTTATTATTAATTTTGTAGCTATTCTGCATTTATTATGAAGAAAAATTATTGTCTTCTGTCTTCTTTTCTGTATTGTATGAACCATCAGATTCGTAGGACACATAATTTGTTACAGAGCTATTTATTTATGATTCATTTACTCAACATTTATTTACTCACTGTACAAGTAACAGCAACATGGAAAATTTTAAAGCAAGTAATAATCAGGCTAATGTTTTAATATAACAAAAATTGACAGTACTTCTTACCAGGAATGCTGATTTTTAATTAGCAGGTTTTCTAGGAGATTCTTTTTTTTAAAAGTGAATAATGGTATCTTCAGCCTAGGTAAAACTTTAAGCATTGCTAGAAAAACCTATGTAACTGTTACTTCAGCATAATGGGTCGTGGGGTTTTTTTCCACATGCTTTAGTGATACTTTCTGAACAGCAAGGTTCAAAATGGCAAAAAGGAGAAAAGGGTGAATGTGTGGGGGTTTTTCTTAAATCTTGTACAGAAGAAAGATTCAGAGTTAGACAATAAATAAGTCTCAGTGGTGAGATATACATTTACAAGAAAAATGAAATGTGGAATTTTGGGATGAATATAAAGGTTTCAATTAGGAGAAATAATGGAAAGGCTTTTGGAGGATAGAATGCCTTTTTTGTTGTTGCTCATGCATGGCAAAAGTATGTCAATACAAATAATCTGTAACAAATTTAAAATAAACTCAGTTGCTGTTGTTACGGCTCTGTCTGTAGCACTTTCACTGTTTAGAACCTTTTAGCTTTCAAGATGGTTCATTCTTGGTAAAACTACATTAACCTTGTTCAGGATCTCTGAATCATCCAATTTCAGCTCCTCTAGGAGCAGAATACAATTAATGTCTGCTATAATCCAGTACACTAATTTCCTGTATAAAGAAAAACATAAATAATAATTTCTTAGAAAAAGCTAAACTTGGAAAGATGTTTGGTGTTGTTTTTTTTTAATAGAGAATAGGCCTTTGTAAACTTTATGCTACCTCAAGGGGACTAAAGCTTAATCTGTTTGATATTGTATTTTCTTTCTTAAATGGAATTTACTAGCTTTTTTTTCCTTAGGTGGTTTTAAATTAAAGTATCTCAGCAAAATTGTAGCATTGACCATGATGGTCATTGTCTTCATGCCACATTGCAAGAGTCATTCATTTTTAAATGTGACTTTTGGTGAGGCTTGTGAGGTGGGCTTCAACTGTCCAAAGTAAGTGTCTAGAGTAATTTTATCTGCACTAGTTTATTCACCCTGGCATCCTGTTTCTGCTTCATTTGGACACAAATCTCCCAAAGATACTTTCCTTTTGTGTCTGTCAAGTTTGTGCAGGTAACTTGAGGAATATAAAATCTGAGGTAATTATATCTTGGGTACTGAAGTCTACCCTTAGTACATTTATTGTAATATAGTAATATCTTGCTTCAATACTCATTTAAAAATAGCTCTCTGGGGTGCTTTAATCTTCTAGGATTTCAAGGCTTGTTTTATCTACCAAGTTGGAGTTCAATTCATCTGGAATTGAAGCTACTCATTTGTAACCTTTTCTTAAGAGAAACAGTAGGGAAGAAAAACAAAACCCCAATTTTGAAATTATCTAACCTATCACCTTTCTGAAGACCTTATTTATTCCAAGTTGATAAGAAAGGCAGTATTGGAGCCCCCTATGAATATTTACAAGAAAGTAGTTGAAGAGAGGGAAAATTTGCACTATATAAATATACGAAAAAAACCCACAGTTAAACAGAGAACAAAAATACTTGTAACAGTCTTTAGAATTATGCAGTAGAAAAAAAATTCAGACAAAAATATTTTGTTTTTCAAGGGAGTCTGGGGATAGAGAAACAGGTAATGTTTTGTGCAAAAGTTTTAGCTTTTTAATATAGAAACAAATAGTAAAAGAGTTTGGTTTAAAAGTTACACTGAAATGTTATACTGCAGCTTCTGAGCCTGCAAGCATAACTCTGTGAAGTTTGCAATATAAAGCCATAACTAATTATGAAATTACTGGAACTTCTATTAGGTGACAAAAAAAAAGGTAACAAAGTTTTTTTTATTTCAGAAGTATTTCAGTAGAGTTTATTGAAAATAATATTACAGATGTTTCAGGTGTAAAATGCCACACCTAATAATGTTTTAATTATCTTTTACAAAGAAAAAATATTTGATTACATCTCTTTGGTTCCATTCCCTGCTCATAGTTCTGTTTTCTGTGTTTTTATACAAATTCATAAATGTCCCTGGTGCCAAAACTAAACCAAGGGTATTCAGCCCATCCATGGAGAATGATATGCTTCTGAATTTGATGATTCTGTATCAAATATTTAGCTCCTCTCCAGCCCTTCTGAAAGTAGTTCTAGAACATATTATTCATTAATATTTGTAGAAACATCATACTCATTCAGTATTCATGCACGCAGGACCTAAGATTAATTTGTCAGTTCCTAAAAAAAACACAACAAAACAAACCAAATAATAGACAACATCAATCTAAAATACCCTTATGTCAATTACACCACTGCAGTAATTGCTGAAATCCATTACTTGATTTGAATACTGGTTTAAGACATCAAAAATATTGACTCGTTTTTCCTAATTTGTAGTGGGGGGATTCAGAAAGTGATTAGGCAAGTAATTCAAAGAAAAATACATTGCAGATTAATAGTCACTTGATCAGAATGGAGACTGTAGTAACCAGGTGCTGTGCTGGCAAATGCATGATTTGTGTATGTCTTTTTAAGAACTAGCTACTAGACCCTACTGCTGTGCCAGATGAGCATGTTTTGAGATCCATAATCATTTGCTGTACAAATACATCCTCAAAACATAAATACCCTGGTGCATTAGCAGTTCTGTCCTAATACTTACCTCAAAATACTTCAATTATGGTTGCCCTTTCCCCCAGATGGACACTGAGTCACATCACTTACTGTAAGACTTTGACATGTTCATTTTCACTGACAGCATTTTTTAGAATCTTTAAACCTGGGAGGAGCATATATATTGGAATTGCTGACAGTTTTACTTACAGGAGAATGAACAGTATATTTGTGCATGTTTGCACTTTTCAAATTTTAGAGGATGTTTTTGCAAGTGATTTAAATTGACTTTGCTAAACATTTTGGTAGGAAAATTGCTTTGAGCTCTGTTATATACTGTAGGTGTAACATCAAACAACTTTTTTGAATGCCATTTACAGCTTTGATGTTTAAAGTATCAGTCTAGAGCATAATGTAGATGTAAAACTGAAATGCTTAAACTTTTTAATCAAACTTTCCACACTTCTCTGGTATCTACTAAGCTTATTAGCTTGAAAGAAAAAAAAAGATTGACCACTTTTAAAGGACACTGAGTTATTTTTTAATAATTATTCAGAGATTTTCATTACTTCTTTGCTGCTTACAGGTATTTTTTTCACAAGAAAATACACTGAATATTATACTTGAGTGATACATGAGGGTTTTTTTCCTGTCCCTGAGTTTTCCTCTTACCTGCTTACTAGAAGTCAGAAGCAAACAAGTTCAGAGGTTTCTCACCCAAGGCCAAATGTCTAATTGTTACCAAGTTAGGAGTTTTATATGCTTGGAATCCCATTCTTGAATAAAAAAAAATCATAATGAGCAGTTCTGGAGGAAAAAAAAGAAGACAAGGCTGATAGCTAATGGCCTAAAACCAGCTCATTAGATCTATATATCTTGAGTCTAATGGTAGCTCACTGTAGTTCCTATATGTGTCTTTTGAGACTAGAATGGCATTGGCATTTCATTTGGTTCTTTATATGTCATCCTGAGTGGCTGCTGTTAATCTTCTGTCTCCTTGATGTCCCTTACAAAGGCTAATCAAGTTTCTCAGAATCTTCTATTACAGGATAAACCAAACAAGCTTACTGAAAACTTCTGCAGTATTTTCTTTGTTTTCAGCTATAGTGCTTTGGGGCCCTTTTTGCTGAACTTTCTTGTATTTATGATTGTATTTTTTAAATATGTCAACAACATGGGGAATAGAATTCTTGTGCTAGTTTTGGTGGTAGGATATAAAGAGATAGAGAGTTTTCCTCCTATTTCTCAGTTCTATCCTTTTATACCTGTGATAATTGCATGTACTTAATTTGCTAACAAGTCATCTGCAGAGCTTGCATTTCAGGTGCTTGTTCATTAAGTCCTCAGACAAACCTCATCATGGTTGCTGCAAGATTCATTTGTTACCATAAGAATGATTCCTGAGAATAGTGTCTTTTTTTGCAGCTGTGGCCTGTTTTACTATGAGCTAAATTAAAATAAGTTTAGTTTGATGATCAACCTAGATTTATCTGCATGGCTGACACATACATCGGTTATATTCTGCCAGTCACCTGCTCTTCTTGTCACCAGTTATTTTTTATTTACTGCATTTTGTGGATATAACTATTTAATACAGTTGGGCTTAGAAAGCAATTTGAGGCATCCATTTTTAATTGTTGTTTTTCAATTACACATTATCTTTAAAATCTGTCAGTTCATCAGCTTGTCGTAAATTTAATACATTTTCTTGCTATTCTGTGATGTTATTTTTAAACAGGAAGGTGTGCAGCTGTATGTCTAATGCCTTACACGAGTCTAGATCTATCTTGTTATGTCTCCTGGCAATCCTATAGTTGTGTAAAAATTACTTTTTTAAAACAACATGGTTTTTAAAAACAAAACCTAATCTCCATTTGTTTGGAAAATAGTATTGGATATTTGAATGAGTCTAGAGAAGCTTTTATATTACTTTGCATGGAGGTGATGTCAGGAAGTCATTCTGCTTGTCATTTTTTATTATTGATATGTGAACATTTTTCCATTTTCGTGATATATCCAGGGAGTTTAAAAGGTAATAGTGGTTCTCATATGGTTTATGTTATTTC